CCTGCCACCTCAGCCTCCCAAAGTGCTGGAATTACAGTGCCAAGCCACCACACCCAGCCTCAGGCCTCAAATACAGAGTAAAGTGCCTTGGCAGGGGTATGTACCATATTGATGAGAGTGACAAATAACCTTGATGCTTGAGGGATAGGGAAGGGGAAAGTTTAAGTTCTGTCTTAAAGACTAAGTAGGAGTTTTCAAGAAGAGCATTCTAGGCCTGGAAAACAACACTGTGCAAAGGCCCAGGGGAGCCACATGGAAGGGGTGAGTAGATCCTAGAGAGTCTGGGAGGTGAAGAGCCAGGGGGTGAGGCTGGGCCATTGTGGAAGGGGAGTTGTTTCTTTTATTAGAATATCTTCTTTTATTTATAAGATCTCCTCTGGTATGAATCTTTACTCATGGCTTAGCTATTCTAATTATTCTTATTGTTGGAGGCTTCAAAACCAATCGGTCTTCATGTACATTTTTTTCAAAAATAAAAAGTAATTTTTCTTATTATGAAAGCATTACATGTGCTTGTGGGGGAAGAAATTGTATATAAAAATTAGCCTCCCACATTCAAAAAATATTTATAACCCCGCAACCCTAGGAGAGAACAGCTTTTAGTGTGTTACTGTATAGCCTCTTTCTAGACCAGTGGTTCTCAACCTTCCTAATGCCGAAGCCCTGTGACCCACAGGTTGAGAACCGCTGTAATCTAGACCTTGTCCTTTTAAGTAACATTGGATCACATTATCCATACTGTTAGAGTGGAAGGTGCTGCAAAGAACCAGGCCAAATAGAGTTAATAGCAGAGGTTTTTTTTTTTTTTTTTTCCACTTTCTGGCCGGGGCTGGGTTTGAACCCACCATCTCCTGTATATATGGCCAGCACCCTACACCTTTGAGCTGTAGGCACCGCCCCAGAGATTTTTTAAAATATCTACAGGCAGCTATTTTTAAATGGTGACAATAAGGGTAAGGGAGGCAGGGTAAGGGAGTTCTTTTATGTACAAATGAGTCCTATTTGATGCACATTCTGGTGTCACTCATCAGGTGACGAGCAGCTGTTCAGGAGGTAGTGGGCACGCCAGCCATAACTCAGTCACTCCTGGTGTGCAGTGAAAGACCAGGGTCTTCTGCTAGAGGCCTTGTAAA